CTACTTAATTAATTTAACGATTATTTTAATCGTTGAAACTGAAGTTCTACAGTTCTGAAAGTATTGTGCACTATCGAATAAAACATTTGACGAATATATCACAATAAATAAGTTTGCTATGATCACCACCATTTCATCAACTGATCAGCAAATTGAACTTCACCAACAAGCAAACAGAAAAATATTCCACCTTCATGATTACCAACACTGTAAGTTAACAATTTGAAATACCTAAGACCAATTAGCTAATCAAACACTTCAAAATTTTAAGCCAATTTTTTCAATTATCATTTCACAGTAGCAACTTGCTCATTTACATTATTTTAAATCTATTATTATCGGTGACACAGATTTGTTTGTAAAACATAGAATGATACTAAGTAATAGCATTTAATTGCTACCTTTTCATCATAAGTTGAATTAAATTCTTCCTTTTGTAGAAGCCAAACAAATTAAAATCAATTTATCATACTACCATCATTAATTTCATACACAAAAAACAGCTAAGAATTTAGCAATTGTGTTTGGCTTATTAATCCTTTATAACTTGGCTACAGAGATCCTTATTATCATTGCTTGTATCCCCAAAAATTAAAATTGTTTTTTGGAAAGAATTAGATTTTAATAAAGACAAATCTCTTGTTTTCATTTCTTATTTCAATAAATTTCAATCACATTAGCGTATTATAATGGAAGTTTTATAATTGAATGAAAAGGAATAGGAAAAAAGACATTTGAAATGAAATATAAAAATATGTTATCGTCTTAATGAAAATATTCTTCGTTATATCAATTTTGTGCTTTCTTTGTCATACTTCATGCCAGCGTTGTTGCATCAATAAAAATGAGAAATTATTTGCCGCGGAATCGAAAGATATGATCTCTCGGGAGACGTTTCATTTGCATAATGTTCAGTACGAAGTTTGTTCAGGATAGGATCTCGTAGTGAGTATCGTCCGTGCTGTAGTTTATTAGAGTTTGGGGGAGGGGAGCGGGGGAGGGAATGTGAGGTAGGGAATGTGGCGGGGTTTTAGTCACGGAGGTCTTCTTTCCATCTCAATGAATTTTAGGCCTTTTGATGTAACATTTGAAATTATTTCACTCAATATTATAATATATTAGTTTGGAATTCAGTTTTATTTGTATTAATATTTCCGCCTATTATAGTTGTGCTAATTATTCGACATCTTGGAATAAAAAAGTTTTAAATGATGATTTTAGCTACTAAAAATTATTTGGTTTTAAATGATGATTTTAGCTACTAAAAATTACTTGGTAATGATTTTTTTCTTGGAGTTACAAAGTTTTCCTCCCTATGTCTCCTTCTCTTCCTTCATAGTTGACTTGGTAATTTTATCATTTTTAGTAGGAAATAATATAGCATGAGATTCTTTCAGTATGCATTGCTTATTTTATTTTGATCCAATTATGCGCAGTGCTCCTTTTCGAAAATCGATTTCTTATAATTATAAATGTATTCTAAGAACAATTTTAGTAGTTATTTCTGAAACTCACAATATTGCATGGTGATATTAGTCAAATTTAATTCTTAGTCTAAATGATTACACTATTTGACATCCTAACAGATAAATCTCTTTAATAAATATATAGAAAATTCATTCGTTTTTTTACAGTTTTTGTCCTCCTTTTTGACTTCCACACAAACTTTATTTAATGGAGAGAGGGAAGAAAACAATTGACAGATACATTTTGATTAAAATTTGTTGTTCTTAATGGAAAGCATTCATTTTAAGGACCATTACTTACATTTCTTACAAGAATACACTGACAAAAGTAACTGATGTCATAGTTTTTACAGACACTTTTTCTGTCATTTTAAAAAATTTTGTTCTGAAAATTGTTTCTTTCTTCTGCATTATGTATCAGAAACCTTTGCTCTTAATTACTTTCCCTCATATTTTTCCCCATTATTTTTATAATCCTTATGTAATTACTTACGTAAAGAAATTTGAAATGAAAATTATGTTAATGTTTTCATTTTTCCAACTGTTAAGATAATTCTAATCATCACTAACCAGTAGGAGAAGATCAAATGAGAAAACTAAAAGCACTTGAAGAAATACAAGAAGTTGGATTTGGTCAATTAGAGACTGTGAGCACTTTGTAATCATTGTTTTATTTTATATGGGTGATATAATCCTTTTTTTCTTAAAATCCTTGCTTATTTGATTGGGATATCTGGTTTCCATGATCAAATTTCTTCTTTAATGGAATTTCCTTATGAAATTCTGAAATTAGCTGAAAGATAGAATATTCTGGCCTTGGGGAAAATATTTCATCTCTATTTTTTTGGTAGAAATATTCATGGAGAAGTCGGGAGATGAAACATAATTTTTATGTTAACCATCTTTTTTATGAAGTAAATGCTTTTTATTTGTTCATGAACTAAATGTTTTATTTAACTTTTGCTGGTCTTTTTTTCAAATTTTCGTTCCTTTTATCAGTGTTAGCTACTGTTCTGCAGAGTGATAACATTCTAAAATACTAGCTTCATCTCACTTTTGTATCTCCAACCATGCATTTTAGTTTGCCGAAAAATTTGTTCTCTTTCATAGAATATTAACTGGAGAACTGTTACCTGTTTGAATAATAAAGTTTAAATATTTTATGCATAATGGAAGATCATGATGAGTGTAGGACCATGGCTTTTCATCAGGTCGCTGAGAGATCCAATCATTCACTAACTATTGAGAAGCATTAATTATTCTATTTTTTTTTCTTAAATACTTCGTGGATTGAAGTATAATTGAAGTTAGAGAATCTGCAACCAATATTGTTGTGGGAACACTGCGGTTTTTTTCTTTTCTTTCTTGATCTCAAATTTTCAAAAATGTTTTTTTAGTTTTCGCACTTCCTGCGTGTTCAGTAAAAGAAAAAGATTTTCACAAAAACGAACATTTTTTCTAGTCATTTTAACTGAAAAAAAAAGAAACAGTGGAAAGAAGTAGCTGCAAAACAAAACCTGTGATGTTGGTGGGCGATGGTTAATATCAGTAGCTCCAGCTTGGTTCAGAGAGATTCCAGCAGTATTAATACACCGAGAGGAACAGATACAAGTTTGTATTTTGTATTTTCTGTTTTTTCATTCATCCGAACATTTTTTATTGAATTTAGACACATTGTATTTGTATTTAAACTGTTAGATGCAATTGTAATCAGTGCAATCAAATGTATTGCATTTCAGAAAAATCATAACTTCTCTGACGTGCATTTCTCAGTGTTTTTCAAATTGTTTATCTTTTAACCAAGTTGGAAATGAGTGGAATTTATATTATTAGCAAAAGCATCATCATTTTATTATAGACGTCAACGAAGACATGAGCAGTAATGAATATCCTTTGCACGATGTTCAGCAAGATTCAAACATTTTGGAATGTAAAGGAGACGAACAGGTACACGTTTGTTGCTTGTTCATTTTATTTTATCGAGTAAGAGAACAAAAGCGATAATTATTGTATGTCTCGGTATCTGGTGTAAAAATTATTTTTTGACTTTTATTTTCGACTTTCAACTTTTGCTAGTATGCATCCTTGTTGCTGTGATCACACATGCAAAAGCATATGGTTGAAAAAACAACGTATCTACATGTGTTCTGCCACTAACATCCAAAATGTTAACGAATTTTGACTATCATTCATTATCCTAATAAAAATTCTGTTACAGTCACGAAAAGTGCCATATACAATGCATGGTGTGTTGCATTACTTGCAACATGAATGGAGCCGTTATGAAATGGATCGGGCACAGTGGGAAATGGAAAGAGCAGAATTGCAGGTTTTATTTCTTAAATCTCTAAGAAAGAGTTTCACATGTTCTAACTTTCTTATCTAAAGTTTTGGTTCTATGCATCGTAGTTTTTGTGATTGTTTTCAGGCACGAATAAGCTTTCTCCATGGAGAACGGAAAGGACAAGAAAACTTAAAGGCCGATCTGATCCGACGCATAAAAATGCTTGAATACAGTTTAAAACAAGAACGGTTGGATTTTTACTGGATTTTTGATATTTTTTCTTTATAGTATTACGGTTGAATAGTGTTATAGTTGTCTTTGTTATTCATGTTTATTAAGTTTTAGAAAGATTTTTAGTTCAAACCATAAAGTTCATTCATGTAAATTAGCAAGCAATTTCCATTTGAATGACGAATTTAAAAATTAATAAAGAAATAGATTATATATGTTCAGCGGTGAGAGTTAACCTGTTCATTTATTAAATACTTTTTGTGATGAGTGTGGATCACATTAATTTACAGTTTTTACTGTTTCAGAGCTAAAAATTATCGTTTAACTCACAACGGTCAAGATAAGCCAGAGGATGAAGCGAGTCCAGATGAAGCAACAGGCATGTAGTTTATATAAAGCTAGCTTCAGCTAGGGAATTGATGCGTAACATAGAAATGTTTTAAATCCAATAATCATATTTTGTATGTTTAGGAAATTAAATTTCCAATGTATATTTTTAGATGCTGCCGAACAAGTTTCTCTTGACGTCGATGCATACTCTTCGCAATGTAATAGCGCCTCCAGTTTTCGTAATGCAAGAGCTTTACTGAGGCAATATCTTCAGGTTAGTACACATTTGTTCTTTGCATTTAATCCTTGAAAAGCAACATTTTTTAAAAATTGATAACTTTCTAACTGCATTTCAGGAGATTGGTTATAGTGAAACAATTTTGGATGTTCGATCTTTTCGAGCAAAAAATTTGTTAGGGTTGTCAAATTCGGACTGGCAATCTGATTCTAACAAGTAATAGTATTTGCTAGCTAAATTGCTTTTTTCATGCATTTTTCATGCATTATTTATTTGTTCACAGTGTTAGACATTATACGCAATACTTATCAAAACTAAAATTTACGAAAGCTTAAAATAAGGGACTAATTTGCAATATAAATTGTAATTTATAAATCATTACGCATGAAGTGCATTTAAATAAGAACAGCTTAATCAAATATATTCGGGTTATTAGGGTGGACCGCTGACCTTGATGAAATTTTGTTTCTTTCAGTGCTTCTCGGCAGAGTGCTGTGAAGTGTCTTCAAGATACTGATCGAGCTGTTGTGGAAGCTGCGCAATACCTTCGAAAAAAAAAAAGAGATAATTCTGCACCAGCTGGGAGTGACGATAGGTAGAATTCTTATTCTCTTTCTTTTCTTAGGAATCCCATATGTCTGTATTTTACTAAGATGCGTGCTTAAATTTTGACATATTTTAAGTTCTAAATTCAAAACTGAGAATATGTGAGCACTTATTGTTTCCTACGGCGATTATAGTGATTCGGAAGATGATGAGAAGGGAAGAAAAGAGCACAAGAAGTATTCTCTTGATCCGGAAACAGTGGATGCGCTTGGAGAATTTTCATTTTTAAAGGATGAAAAAACAGGTGTTAGCAAAAAGCGATTAGAAGGAAGTGGTGAATGGAGCGTCAATCAACGTGCTATTGATCAGATGAAGGAAAAGTTTAGGTAAATGTTTTTTTCACTTGGTGTAGTCTTTACTAAACAATTTTGCAAAATTTAACCTGTGTTTTAAAAATTGCGATTATTTCATATAAATGTGTAAAGAAAAACATTTATTTAGGTCGGAACAAGAAAAAAAACGAAGTAATAGTCAAAGTGATTCTTTATCGGGTAGGGGACTACCGCATCAACTTCGCTTAGGACCAGATGATGCCAAAAAAGAACTTGATGGTGGGTTTCGTTTTTTCAACATATCTGAATTTTCATGCTTTTTGTTTTTCTATTTCTGCTTGTCCGCTGAATAAAAAAAATGTAGCATATAAATTCATTTTAGCAAGTAGAAATATCAGTACACATGTCTTTGGTTTTTTAGGAGAGTATTATGGATGAAAATAAAATGGATTTAGCTTTTTTTAATTTTATTTACAGATGATATCCAGCAATTTTTCGGTGGTAAAAGTAAGCGAGAATTCATGGACATCAATGCAGCTCTTGGAATTGCTGATGAAGGGAATGTTGACATTAAAGATGATTTTATTATTGTTAGTGTCTTCTTTTTTTGTTTTCATAATTATCTTTTGTCTAATTTCGAATATTTTTCAGATTTCGTCAATTTTTCTACACATTGCTATCTTAAAAGTAACAACTTTCGATGCATTTCGTAACATGTTTTTTAAATGGATATTCTTAAATTGTGAAGTATGCTTCAGCCAGACGAAGATACAACGAATATTCGGTGGAATTTAAAATTTACGCTGCGCTCACATTTCGATAGCATTCGTGCCATGCAATTTCATCCCGTTGAACCGGTGCTTATTACTGCTAGTGAAGACAGCACAGCAAAACTTTGGAATCTTGGCAGTAATAGCAATGTGAAAATGGATTTAAAAGGGAGTAAGTGGCCAGTTTTTCGTTTGTTGGCTGCTCTCTAATCGGCTATGATTTATAATCTTTTAATACAACTATTCATAGGGATGTATGATTACTTGCTGTAAATTGAAATTAGTTTATTGTGTATTACTGAGTTTTGCAGATCAAATCTCGGCACATTCACAGTCTACAGTCACGGAGCTGGAACCAACTTATACGTTCCGTGGACACAAGTACTTAATTTATTTAAAATTTAAATGATACTTTGGTTTTTGTTGATTTATCTTTTGCTAATTTCATAAATGATTTCCAGTGGACCGATCCTTTCAATGGATATGTCACCAACAGGTGACATGTGTTACACTGGTGGTTTTGATGGTGTTGTATGTTGTTGGTCGGTGCCATCAGTTAATACTGATATATATGAACCATACGGTATGATTTTATTCCTATAAAATGAATTACATTTGTGCCCTTTAAAAATTCCTTGGTTGAAACTGTACCTTACAAATCATGCATGCTGATTAGTACTACATTGCAGTCACTGTGACTGACAATGCTTCTTAATTATTGTTAAGTAGTTCGTTTTGGAAGTCTAAGAAGCTTCAGGCGACACTTTTTGCTATATATTTTAAATGAGTCGTGAAAGCGTGTTTGCAGACTCAAAAATATTGTGCGAGAAGCTAAAGGGTCACACCAGTGCAATTTGGTCGGTTGCGTTCCACTCATCCGATAATCGCCTCGTTAGTGCTTCTGCTGATGGAACTATCAAACTCTGGGAACCAGGTGACTCTTTCTGGAAGTAATAATCTGCATTTATCAAAATGCCATCACTTCGTGAGAACAGGATGTACAAACAAGTTGAAGTTGTCGATTATTCTTATCACGGACGGTTATGCTATTTCTGTTGCTTGCGATTTAATAAAAGGATAGCAAACCCTCAGTTGATATATGTGTAATTAACAACTGAATGTTAAAGTATTAACAATAAATCTTAAGGAAATACGGATGCCCTCATCAAATCGTTTGGTGCTGCATTGCCAAATATTAAGCCAACATCAGTCGACTTTGTTTCAACTGAACCACAACAACTTCTGGCAGCTTATACATTATCATATGCCTCAATTATTGATATTGAAACCGGTTGCAATGTGCTATCATTTGATTTCGGTGGCGGTATGTTTGTAGAGCACTTATGTTTGTTAATTTTTTTACTTATGATTTATATTTAGAGCATTTCTTTTATTGGCTGATATTTTGTAATAAAATTTCATAGATTTAGGCAAATCAGTACCATATGAGGACTTTATTTTAGTAGAAAAACTATTTAAAAGGTTTTTCTGTTATGTGTGAGCTGAAGATTTTTAGTTCCAAATGAAATATGTTCCGGAATTGCTTTCTAAAGGCTTGGATCAGTTTATAATAACTTTTCAACTCTCTTAAAATTCAGTCAACATTAAATACACTATGTTTCAGAAGATGCTGGAACTATTACGAAAATTTTGTCACACCCAACGATGTCAGTATCTTTAACTGCTAGTAATGATCGAAAAATACGCTATTTCGATAATAATACTGGTATCATAACTTCCTCTATTAGAGAAATGATTTTTAGAAATTTATCTTGAATATGAGTTTAAAATTTTCAGTTCTTATTAAAATGTATCGCATGACTGTTTTCTTCTTGCTATCTCTGCTTATTCTTTTGGGTAAAATATATATTAAAAGAGACACAAAATTGAGAGATCTGTTTAGTCATTCAGTTGTTCTGCAGGCTAACTTTGTTAGTGTCATCTCATTTTATGTCGATCTTTCAGGCAAAATGATTCATGGAACTGTTGCACACGTTGAAGCAATTTCATGTTTGGCCATTGATCCTAATGGACTGTATTTGCTTTCTGGTAGTCATGATGGTTCTTTACGTCTTTGGAATATGGAGAAAAGGATTTGTTTGCAGGTGTTTATTTTGCATAAGCTTAGGGCAGACATCGGTCATTACTTTTTATTTAAATAAATTAATTTAATTCACTTGACTTTACTTTCATATGTACGGATGTGCAGTGTAAATGCCAATAATACTACATTAGAAGATGGTTCTATTAAAGTAAAATTATTTTTAGGAGATTGCGGCACACCGCAAGAAATTCGATAGCGCTGTGATGACAGTTGCATTTCATCCAAGTAGGCCTTTGATTGGTTCCGCTGGTGCCGATGCCCTTGCAAAAGTTTTTAGCTCACAGAAGTATTTGCATGGAAATGGTTTTGACCCCTAAAGTTTGTTTTGTTTTTTAATTCAGATTGGTGTCCATTGTAGAATGTTCGTCTAAAAAAATATATGCTTCGTTAAATATTGCATTTTTCTTTACTTTTCGCCTTCATGTATCTTTAAGAATTTTCCAATTTTTACATTAATCGAATTCGAAATTATATCTTTAAACTGCCTTAGTTGTAATTTTGGGAAGTTTAAGAATTCCCTGAACTTGTAAATATTTGTACCGAATGATGATGGTATAGGCGTAATATTGGAAATTTTTATGCACAGTCTTAAGGATTCCTTGCTTTTGAATTGGCTTTCAGTTCCACTTCATTTCATGATTTCTACTTGAAATTGTCTGAATTTTGAAAACTCTTTATTGTTGAATTTTGGTCTGACCTTATGCTTATTCGATTTCAGTTTAAATAAATTTTAAAAAAATCTCGGAACAGTATACCCACATCGAATATTTCCTTTGTGATCATTGCATGATTATTGCATAAAATGAACGTCTATGCTTTCAGAGCAACTTTCTGAAAGTAGAATTAATTAACTACCAACGTGTGATGATTTTTCATAATACAAAGAATTCAAGTTATTTGCATGCTTTTACTCTATATTTGCGGGTGTTCTTTTTTTGTTAGTTTGTCAAAATTTTTATTATGAAATTCAAATAGTTTGTTTTCTACGTGCTTTGTTTAGGTACACTTTGTCTTTTTGAGCACTCTGTGGTGTAATTTTGTCCGTACATCATTTGTTTTAACGTTGTCTTCCACCATTCGTCATGGAATTTTTTTTTTTTCAGCCAAATTCTCTTTTAAACTCAGTGCTGAATTTGGTACAGATTTTTCACAATCAAGTACAGATTTATTTTCGAGATTCGAAATCTATCAAACAGAGAGAGAATGTTGTTAAGGGCTACAAACTGTTTTGGAATAACACTTTTCATCATTGTTCAGTACAAATCTTCCTGATTTGGTCTTATTTTGAGTGATGGGGAGGAATAGCTTTGCAGAGATAACTTGCAACGGAATTGTTCAGCATGCTGTTTTTGCTTGTTTTTATTTTAAAATATTGCTATCAGTACTGGAGATTGACAATAGTAGGTGTGTGTGCTGGCGTTTATTTGTAAAGAAATTTGAATTTCAATTCTTTTTTTCCTCCAAATATTTCGTGCTATAACTGTTTATCGCTACTGGATAATAATTGAGGTGTCATTTATAAAATTGGAATAGTTTATTTATTGTTTCCTTTTTTCTAAGATAATAATTGAGGTGTCATTTATAAAGATGGAATAGTTTATTTATTGTTTTCTTTTTTTCTAATTTCTAACTTTTGTTTTTCCTAATTTCTAGTTTATTTAAATCAATTCTTAAATTTCCACAAAAAGCAAAATATGATTATCCTTTATGTTACAAATGTAACCAAACAGAAAAACAAGAAATCTATGGCAGATAATACTTTATTGCGGTAGAGGACATTGTAAATTTCCAAATTTATGATTGCTGAAATAACTGGAATTCTTTATATTTGCAATGCTAAGAGCTTCCAGTACTTTGATAATTTCATTGAGATAGATTCTCTTGTAAACTTTTGGATTCAAATTTCTGCAAAAAAATTGCTCTTAATATATATTCAAAATGTAAGATTACTATCGGTGTGGTGTATAAAGCAAATAATTAATTACGAAGCTCTACATTGAAGCGTTTTGCAAGGTAATTTGAATATTTGGAAGTGATATGGAAGGTAATTTGAATTTGAATCTTCTTCAGATACAATTAGTCACAGGTTGTCATACTTCGAATGAGTTGGTTATTACCACTTCTTTCTCGCATATCACTACAAAGATGCTGATCAGCTAAACGATCAACAGCAATGTAGGTGTTTTCAATCAAATCTCGGACATCAGCGATCATTTCTGCTCTATTTGAATTCGAGAGGAATACCTGTAATATTTCCACCATTTATTTGTAAATTCAATCACTTATAATTTTTACTGATTGTATTGAAATATGTGCTGTACATTTTATCTTTTTCAGCAAATTAATCAAAAAATTTATTGCTAATAGTGAAAATTTTGGAACTTACAACTTAATTATCTGGAAATACTGTTTAAAATACTGTCTAAATATAATCAAATGATTATAGAATAAGTGAATTTCTCAAAGAGAAAATGTAATTGTTTCAATTATTACCAGTCTTTTATTAATAATAGTAAAATGAGATGATACCTGTAAAATGTTATCATCAGAAGATGTACAACTGGTCAATTCTTGACCTTCACAAGCTTTCCAAATCACACGCATATCGGAATTACGTTTTGTTATACTTGCCTGATGTAATAAAATACCTTCTGTGCTTGGAAAATTCACCAATACATGATGATTTGTTGTTGATTTTTGCATTTCACATGATTGATTAATTGTCTGGAATTATTATATAAATTTTTATCTTTTTCACTATTTTATTGGTAAAGATTTGAAATATGCAAATTATTCAATATTCGTACCTGCAATACTTTTGCCATGCAATTGAGGAGAAGAATTTCCCAGCCTATTCCGTGATTCGCAGCCTCAATTAATCGTCGATGAGAATCACATAGTGGTTGCAAATAAGTTCCCAATAAATAAATATCATTGTGATTCTGAAATTTGATTATATAACTTATTTAATTTATTAATGAATTAGAAATCAACAGTGTTTTATTTTATTATATATTTTGCAACTGAATTATACTTGAATCGGTGCTTCATATGTTTATTAATTTCACCGTATTTTCATTCACTTATAAAGTGTTATAATTCTGAATTGAAATTTTCACCATTCATCTAATTGAATTAATAAATAAACCTTATAAAATCCTTTCATAAATATGAAAGATGAATTCGATAGTGCAGGAAGTGATTTTGCAGTTCGCAAAACAAATGATTCAACTCCCGGCAAAATATCTCTTGTTTGATCCACTGTGAGATATTCGTACGCGTATGGTTTTTGATCTCGAATACTTTCAAATGATGTACTCTCTGCATTCATTCTTACTATGGTACCTTAAATTTTTTTAATTTAACAGCTAATATAAATGATGATAAAATGTGATATTTTAATCAAATGTCGCTGAAATTTGTTAACTAAATTTCAAAATTTCAAGAATGCTAAAATATAAGAGCAAAAAAAAATGCTTACAAATGAAACCCGAACTGGAATATAGTGAAACAAATTCATAACCATTTCGTAAGCATTCTTCCACAATAAATTCACTGTCGTATTTACTTTCAACTTCTAATTTACTCTGTGATGAATTAAACGATTCGTTAGCATGCTCGTTGAAAAATTAAATATTTTAGAGATGTTGATTAAAATTAATTTCTTGTTTCTTCTAAGGTTTTTTTAACTGAAAAAAATAGAACTTCGTTATTTTATCGATTAAAAAAAGGTAAAAAGTATTCTGAACATATGAATTACCTTAATCCAAGATTGCATTTCATCACAATCATGAATTGAGTGGCGAGTTATTTTACGCTCATATTTCGCTTCACACGATCGTACAAATACGGGAAATCCATCAAGTTGGGTGGCAATACGTTTTAGCCATAATGATGGCTCAGATTTTAAAGGAATTATCGTTTGCCTATAAATATTTTTAATAATTTATTTGAAATTAATAAAGTTTTTGAAATCAGACATCGAATAATCGAATAAAATCGAATAAGATGCCAAGTACAACTAATAGTAGTTGAATTTTATATATTAAGTTGCACAATGAAAATTTAGATGTTAAGAATATTTCTCAGGTAGGCCAGACCAAGTTTTTTCAAATTATTTTTGTTTAAAAATAAATTCTATTTGAAATGAACTTCGGATTGAAATTTAGATTAGAAAATTTGTGAACAATATGCCAAGCTTTATTTTTTCCATTTGAAAAATAACATGCTTAATTGCACAATTATTTTTCAACTTTTTAATCATATTTTTTTTGTTTTAATGAATATATGGGAAATGCGACAAATAAAATTCAATTATTATTCATGGAAAAATAGTTGAAGATGTTATATAGTTCACATCTGATTCAGTCACTTATTTATTAGCAGTTAAAAACAAAATTATTAGAATTGAAAAAAATGGAAATTGGATTTCTATAGTATTTTCTATTTGCTTCAAAATTGATGTGCGTATTTTAAAGTCAAATTATTCTCGATCACTTTTTTCAATCATATTTAATTGAATGTAAAATTTTATTATAGAAAAAATTAATTTTTCAAACAAAATAAATTTCTAATCATGATTTAAAATTTAATTAATCTGAAAATGCAGATTATAAACATAAGAAATATCAATATTACCTCAGGGTCATAAGGCCATTTCTTCGAGCAATAAGTTTCATTTTCTTCATATGCACAACCTGTTCCACATGATCTGGCAGAAGTCCCTCAATACCCAATTCAAACCTAAAATATGAAAATATCTTTGGAAAAAATATGGACTAGCTGAATTAAAATAATACCAAAATATAAAGTTAAATTTGAAGAAGTTTTAATTTCAGTAGATAAAAGTGATAAATAAAAGGGATGAACAAATTGGATACCGTTATTTTTGTAAAATATTTGCTAAACAATTGTTTGCTTAATTTTTTATCATTTACTTTTATACTTTAGTTTTCATACTTAAACATTAAATCATAACATGAAATATTTGAATTTTTAACCTAATTTTAGCCATCAAATGTTGCAATTCAGCTTCAAAAGTAACAATAATTCGTCTAGTTAAGCCATAATTTGAGACAAGTTCACGAACTTTTTCGATCAATAATGTGTGGCAATGACTACGTGAACCGAATGTTGGCTGAATTTGATAGTGAACATCAACGCTACAAAAGAAAGGATGAAATTTCGCTTATAATTGAAAATAAAATTGGGAATGTTTGATTTGAAAGCAAAGGCATTCTCGCATTAATAAAAGAATTTCCCTAAATGATTAAATCAATATAACATTTTTAATAATAACAATAATGATAAAGCTGAAAGTGATAATAATAGTAATTAACCTTTACTTCTTATTCCACCCACCTATATTTATTTGTACTAATTCAATCACAAATTATATAGAATTAAAATTTTGAAGATTTTTTTTTTGTTTTGCATTATCATAAATATTCTGAAAACGTTGAATAAAAAGTATTAATTTGAATGAAAATCTAACCATGTATCATCATTAATTGAGTTTTCTGGTCCAACAACAATTACTCTAAAATTTGGAACTGTTGTTGGTTTGCAGTAACCATGAAAATTCAAACGATGACGCCAAAGTACAATTATCAGTGTCGTCATTGGAGACGAATGTAACCGATTATCAACAGGAAAAGTTATTTTTTGTTTTTCATTTATTCATTTCCATCATGCATTATTTTTTTCCTGAAACAATCAAACAATTCCATTTCATTGTTACAAATCATTTTGTGAATTTTAGTAAAAACCTAAATCTTCCCAATAAAAATCTTCCTAATACTTATTTAGCGAGAAGAAATATTAATTTATTGTTTGTCGCAAGAAAGTACAGCGATCTTTATAATAAGATTGATGTGTTAAATAAAAATGAAATAAATGTTTTTTTCATAGATAAATTGATGTAAATTACGACACAAATGATCAATTGCATCAGAATCAGATTATCGCTAATTAACCCTTACGGAATAAACTAATCGGAGAGATCATTATTTACCTGTGCTATTATCGCTCATTACAGCGACGAATCTACGATTTATAAATGTTTTTAATTATCAAAAAAGGAGATTTTTTTAAAATCATTTCGGAAATTGTCAGGATTTACTTTATATTTTAGGGTAATAAAAAGGAATGATTTAACCTAAGAAGAAGAACATCGTTTCAAAGTCGATAATAGTCAATTAGAAATATTTTCCTTAATTTATCAACTACTTATTTTCAATAAGATTCTTTTCAATTCCATATAAATGAAATAATTAACATATATTAAGTTTAACGGAAATTTATAAGAATAAAAATTGTTGAGGAAAAACAATAAGTACTTGTACAAAGTGGGAGACAGAAAAGATGAAAGAAAATTTCTTAAAAAAGTTTTGTTTAGCAGCATATTGACACTGTCACATCAATGACTGACTTATTTTGCTTATTATAAATTTATTACACCAATAATTCTCTCTATTCTTCATCAATACATAAAGTGATATGAAGTTTATCGTATTCAAATGTGGAAATAAAATTAGCCGAGTGAAACCATTTGAAAAATTTATAGGAAAAAAGTAAATCTTCAAGTTATTTCAATGTCAAGAAATTAGAATAACGATAACTATTGTTATAACGATAATTATTAAATGGATAGAGAAGAAAAATATTTCAAATTTCATACTTTCTAAAATATTTTAAGACTTCTTGCTAAATAAATATTTGTTTGACATTTTTTTTTAAACATTCCGATTAATGTTTAGAAATATTTTTTCTTTTACAAAATTTGAACGTATTTTTGAATGCAATATTATGCATAAAACCAATGTTACGAGTAAAAAAAAGGGTGGAAAGGTATATAAAAAATAAAACACATTTCGCAACTGTTACTCATTGTCCTCTTCTAGTGACCTCTGCTAACCAACATCAACTTAACATTACTGCTAAGCATTAAAGTAAAGCATTAAAGTAATTGGCATCGTTTAATTCATAAGGTGTATAGCACATATATTATAAAATTAGTAATACTTTATAGTTAGCATGTAAATTTAGTTCTTCATTTCAAATTCTTTAATTTCCAATACTTTTACATTTGTCACAGCTTTCCAGAGAAAGCCTATCATTTTGCACTATTTATTTTTTTATTGGAAAAACATACCAAGTCATATTGTTGTTTGGTACGGATGAACGAAATGAAGAAAAGTAAATCAGTAAATTTTTCAAAGATCCAAAATTTGTAGCGAAATCTGAAAGTTATGACTTGAAAGGAAACAATGAGCTAAGCTTATTAACTTCCTGCTTTACATCATCTTTACGACATAATGACTGAATTAAATTGAAAAAACGGGAAGACGAAGAATGAGGAAAATCACCAATTCCGATCAAAACTGACTCAAATTTAATAATTTAAACTACCCTAATTTTCAAATAGCTGAAATAAATCAATATAGCGAACAAAAATTGCGCCAGTTGAAATTGGTATTTTGTTGAAGAAAAGCAAATTTTGAATTTATTCATGGATTCAATTTACATGTTTTGTGTTGTGCTATCTTAGCTGCATGCTCTCTCAACGGTCGAATAACTGAATTGATTACTGCAGGAAAGAGTACTTTTAATTAAATTTGAGTCAATTTTATTTTACCTCCATAAATAACAATATTGTAGAATGGACCTATTCAGGAACATATAACAAAATGTTAAAACAAAAATAAAAAATGAAAAAGAATACAACCGAATTCACTTTATTTTAACAAACTTTTTAAAAAAAATTTAAGTAAACCGCACATTGAAATGAATCAAAAAAAATTTGTCATATTTACAGTGCGAAATATTCATTAGCTCAAAATAATCAATTGATATCTTTTACAATTAACATTTCTACCATTATTTTATCAGATTAATTATTTTTTCATGAATTATGCATAATTTTTATCTCACTCATCTTACTGAACAGAAGAAAAATATCAAAATAAAGAAAAAATTATTGAACAAATTTCATTAATTTTCACGAATTCATTATTTTTTCAAATTTTAATTATGATCATCGCTTTGCAGTAGTCCGACTTGTCAGAAACAGTTGCTATACCGAATAAAATAGATGTTTGAATTTTATCAAATTTAAATAAGAATAAATGGGAGTAATGTGAAGTATGAAATATACGAAAATGCTAAAAGACAACTGACAACATTTCGCTCAATCCTTTCTTTTAAAGATAAGAACGAACGAAAATCGATGACAATTTTGACAACAAACAAACAATTTTAATGTGTTTGAGTGAAAGCACACTTAAACATTTTTGCAAAACATCGCATCGTCTACTTTTTTTTTGTCTTTTTGGTAGAATATATCACAAAATTTTTGCACAAATGAACTATTTTAATGCACTTGCGTGAAAAAAATGCAATAAAACTATTAACTTTATTGTACATTTAAAATTTACAAAAAACTTTTTGTTAAATTGAATTCAAGAAGTAAGGACAGCTTAATTGTAACTGCTTGTAATTTGGTAATAAGTTAAATTGGCATTTTTGTATGCTACAAACAAATTAAATAGATTATATGGCAATATTTTATAAATAAAATTATTAAACAATGATCGCTTTGAGCTGAGCATATTTTTGAAAAAAAAATTGATATACCGCTCAAATATTGAGTATTGAAATTAAACGAAATTTAACATGATTTAAAGTCAACTACAATTATTTGGATTTTCATTTTCTATCTAAAAATATTACTTTCCGGATTATGCGCTCTCTGCGCTTAATAATAGATTGGATTGAACTCGGAAAAAAAGGCAAAAGATATGTTTTATCTCAGTTCAAACAAAAAAAAAGTGCACTAAACGATAATTTAATATTTTCGGTGGTAATTAATAAATGTCAAAATGAGAATATTCGTTGCACAATACATTGGAAATATGCAATTAGCACCAGTATTTATGATTAATAACAAATATTACTTTCATATAAACATATGAAAAGAATTTTACATGAATATAAAAAATCTTCAAAATAATTAATATTTAAATCCTAAAGCAAATTTTTATTTAAAGAGTGCGATATATTTTCTTTCAGCGTATTACTCTACAATAAAGTGATAGAAGAATGACATTATCGTGATTTGAGTACAGTAATCTGATAGAAATGATTGACAATGATGAAGCAAAGCATTTGAAGAGCGGTTTAAAAGATTTTTGCTAAAAAATAAATTTGTTTTTATGCAAGAGTTTGAAAGCATAATAAATTTTTAGTAAAATTGAAATTTCTCTTAAAAATTATGATTTCAGTGAGTTCAAACTTAAAATCAATAATTAATCGAGTATAAATTGAAATTTTAGCTTTTTAAATTTTAAATATGATCAACGTGAGATTGCTTTTATTCTCTTTCATTTTGATTAACAGCTAAACTGTGCAACAAATTCTTGAATTCGAATTAAAAGTTTGTGTAGCATTTAAAACTAAGTTTTCGAGTTTTCAAATAAAACTTATCGCATGAAAGATTTAATTTATATTTGAATGACCATTATTTTTGCTCTTCTTTCTTTTCAATAATTCTTATAAAGTTGTAATACAGGCTTCTAGAAATTAATTTGATGAAATATTTTCCTTCACTTCACCGAGCATTTTTTTTCATGAGTAACTTTTTTATAGAAGAGCTGTATATTATAATTTCTAGCTAATTTTGGAATGAAATTTGTAAGACCTTTCAGAAATAAAATTTAATTACTTGTTTTTAATATTACTTAAATAAAAAACAAATTCAAGAATACAGGAATGATTTGAAAGAAAGGGATTTTAATAGTCTACAAGATAAGTTATGTGTCGTTTGCTTTCGTTTTTTCTTTTTTTTGCATTTGGTTGAGTAAGATTGAAAAGAATGCTAAAAGGCTTTAGGAATGCAAGGATTTATTAGCGTTTCGACAAGCTCTTTAATGATCAAATCATAGCACTATCAAATAAATTATTTTTTTTAAATTACAATTTGCATGAAATCAATACCTTTGCAAATGATAGAAGCAACAATTATTCCGAGAAACTGAACTGCTTATCGATTTCAGACTTAATTAAGAATATAATACGCCTGAGCAAGCTAATTAATTTTAATTAAATAGTATAGAGAAGCGATGAATATTAATTTTTAAAGACTAATTAGTGTAGTTCAGTATTATTTTTGTAATGCCAAGAAAAATTGTCCACTTCTTTAAATTTTTTAATGGCATCTCCAAGTTTGCATTTTTTTTTTTGCAACTTAACGAGTAATAAAATTTTATTTCTAACATTGAAATAATCAAATTTGCTGCCACAATTAATTTTTTGTCACTTAACTTTGCATCGATACATTATCAATCTTTCTAATTAATAATTTAGTAATTTGATAATAACAAAAGGTGATAAACAAATTACCAATATCAAAGGTCAAAAAAATGATATAACATTTTTGGGCCTAATTTTTGAATATTAATTTTGCATGAAACATTTAAGATTTACAGGAATAATACAGTTTATATTTTTCCATTTTACAACAATGATAGTTATTGGAGGGGGAAATATCCGAAATTGTCCGGTTGATGATTGCCTTCGAGTTGAGATGATTCTTTACGGATGTATTGGCATTGTGATCAGATTTA